GGCAAAGGTAAAACAAAAATTAAAGGACACAAAGATTTAACTAGGAAAAATCTCTTGGCTCAACAGGGATTATAAACCTCGACCTCCCTTGGATGAATTTGAAAAACTCTTCACTATATAAAAGCCTTTAAACAAGTTACAAAATAAACTCTTTTATTTTACCGTGAGCCACTCCAACTCTAACCTCTCTAGGTAGAGTTATCACTACCTTACCTTTTGGGTAAGGAGTCTCTCAACTTTACAACAAAGCTCTAACATAACACCCCAACCCTTGGAGGAAAACATTCAAAAATGTTCCTCTTAACCCAATACAATAGAAGAAATTGAATTACAGAGGATAGAACTGCTAATGGAACTGTCACATGTACTCGGTCTTCTTTTGTATGCTTGTATAACTCTCCTTATTTGAGCATTTTCTTCTCGGTTCAAGCACACCCTCCTTTGTGCACGAGTTTGGTCATATATATGGATGTCTTGGAGCTGTTAAGGCTTTATGACATTCAAAAAGCTTTCTTTGTTGGCCAAACTCTCCCTTTATTGTGCCTTTCTATTTGATGATGGATTCTTTCATTTGAGCTCAGTCTTCTTAAATTTGCAAGATCGGGACTTGATGTTCTATTCTTAATAGCTCAGATCTCCATATATATTTCGGTCCTCTTGCATGGAAATTATTCAAAAAATATTTCCTTATAGGTATTAAAGATATTCTTTATATTTGTGTGAAGAAAAATATGTTTCTTAAGGAAACATTCTTTGTGAGAGGAGATGAACGAAAATCCAATCTGAATTTTGAATAACTCCTTTTATTTTGGAAAATCGCTTTGTGGAAAGATCTCTTAATTAATGTCTTTGATTTAAATAACTTTCCTTTAAAGAAAAATTCCTTTCTTTGCATAAACATTAATTATTTCCTTACACAAAATTCTGTTTAATTTAGCAAGACAAAACCGAAATTGGATGGGGAGAAAAGATATTTTAAGTAAGCCACATTAATAATCTTGGATTCGCAAGGCAATTTTAAGACCGAGTCTACGGCTTGTTCCAGAGCACGACTTAAACTCTTTTTCTGCAATCACTTTATACAACACAAATGTCACCAGTTGTTTGTCATCAACAAAACTATACGTTCCAACATATATGCTATTGAACACATGATTTTTAAATTCACATGCTGAATTATGTAATAATCAAAATAAATAGGATTGAAGTTAATTCTGTAACTGAATTGGCTAAAGTTACTATGAGCTAGTTATCATTTTACCTATTTTCCATGTAACCTTTTTTAATATATATGTAAAACATATTTTAAATGTAGTTTTGCCATATTTCAACATATTCAACCGCGCCAACATTTCGCCAATTTCAATCAAATTCAATTAGTTTTAGTATAACTACACAAACATTATATTTAATGATTTTTATGGTAGTCTAATAGTATCCAAATTTTGAGAAGACGTTTCAAGTTCGAAACTCCATGGAGAGGTCAGGGGTGCAGATGAGGGGATGTTGGTCGGGGCCTCTGCCCACCAAGAATAGAATTATTGTGATGTTTATGCATATACTAGTTATTGTGACGCGCGTTGCGCGTTTGAGCTAGTGTCCAATACTATTTGTGTAATATGAATATTTATTTAATACTTTCAACTTTTACTATCAACAATAGCAATGATGTCAACAAAACCTGAGTTTTAGTACTTGGTGTTCTGTACGAAATATATTAAATTATTTAATTTGATCTTTAATAAATCTTTCCCACGGAAAGGGGTCAACCCATTGAATCAACCAAGTTAACTTTCTCATGCCAAATTACTTTTGATCGCCACAGTGGTAGAAACTGAGAGAAAGAAAGAATGGGGAAGGGCCAAGCAAGACCAAGTCAAAGACTATTACGTCTAGCACTTCCAATCCAATTTCCTAATCCAATTTACATAAGAAATAAAAACAACTCTACCAAGCTAAATCAAAATGGGTGAGTGAGGTATTAATGATCCAAAAATTCAGGCAAGGCGTTGCATCTGGACAAGTTGGAAGGAGATATAATTAACTCAGCTGCGGAGATGTTTAAAACAGCCCATTAATAACTTCCATTTCCATATAGATATTCCCCTACACTAATCAAACATGAAGTGCGTAGTACATAGCACTTTAGAGCAACTCCAATGCAAGGGTGTGGTCTCTTACACACCCTTACGCATAAGTCCCATTTTTATCTCACAATTCTTATGTGTAGGATCCACGCATTTCCTAATTTATTTTCATTTTCATTTTTTTTATATCACTTTTAACCCACTTTTCATCAACTTTTCTTCTTCGGATCCCGTATAAGGTCCATATATGGACCTTGTCATAGACCTTGGTCCATTTTTTATCTCTATCTCTCTCATCTTTTTCATTTTTCCTTACACGCCACTTCATCCAAATATTTATTCGATCTCTATCTCTCCTATGTCACATCACTGCAACATGAAGTACGTAGTACGGAGTATAACTTAGATCCCTTTGGTGATTCACATTTTTTATAATTATCAGTCTTATAAGTCAACTTCTTTATCAAACATTTTTTATTTCGAGCATTGAGTCGTGTAATAAAAAAAAGTAAAATTGAAGTCATCTTTCTAACTGATGAGTTGACTGAATTTGGTGCAGAGAACTACTTCAGTTATTTTCATATACTTTTATCTATACTTATTAATAATATATATTTTATACTCTGTATATAATATTTTCATAAATCATCAAATTCAGCACTTTAAAAAATAGCAAATTCAGCTTTAGAATTTCACCAATTTCAACAAATTCAACTTTGTCCACCCGTGTTGGGACAAATGTTGGGGAACATTTGCATAATGTATAATGATTAAATTTAGAGCCCGTTTGGTAGTACGAAAATCGGCTGATTTGGCTGATTCTGCTGAAATTTATGAAGTTCTGGATGAAGTGGCTGCATTGACTAATTCTGCTTATTTAAGAAAAAAATATTTTTAAAATATATTTTATTAATAAAATAAAGAAAAAATTATATGCAAAAATAGCTAAAATGGTCATCCACAGTAACTTCGGCCAATACAGCCAAAAAAGTAACTTTAACCTTATTTTTCTGCTTATTGCACAATTCAGCGCGCAAAAGCAAAAGTTACGTGTTTGGTGAAAACATTGGCTGATAAGCCTGATAAGCCGAAAAACAGCTTTGACAAACGGGCTCTTATACTGTATACATATCTAGTACATTGTACACTACATACGTTCGACGATACAGACGGAGAGGTTCAGCGAAATGAAATCATCTTAATTTTACGCTTCCATAGTAATAAGTGAAAAAAATAACTTCTTCAATATGAAAACTGAAACCCACTTGACAAAAACTCTGAGCCGAAATATGAAAAATTCAATAGAAAGGGACATCAAACTAAACCAATTGTTGGTGTAGGGTACATGTATGTGTGAAAATTTAAATATAAGGTAAGCAAAATCAATTTAGTCAACTACTTACGTACAGAAAACCATTTTGAAGCGATGCAACATAAAACTTGATTTTTACAGCATATTGCATCCACAACGATCAATCTACCGCTCCAAGTACTCATTTTGATGAACAGTGAAAACCATTTTCGTGCGTATAGGATGAAAATACAGATGGAAAGCTACGCATATGGGACATTTGGAAAAGACTCAATTTACCACTTCCACATCAATGGTTGGTGTGGCAACTCTGGCAAATGGCAAGTGAACGACTAAGGTTAAACCGTTAAAGAATGTTAAAGTAGGTTAACATATGACAAACGGAAAACGAGGGGACTAATAAGGAGTACAATGTTTAAGAGACGAAGTACAATTAGATATTGTTTGCTTTTACACCAACACATTTTTTTATACCCAAATCGACCTTACCTTCATTGGCTTTTATAAGCTTTTAGATTTAGATTAGATAAATATTTATAAATAGTACTCCACATATGGAGTAGTAAAATACTTCCTTCGTTCTTAAATAAATGCAACGGTCAATATTTCACACTTGTCGAGACACAACTTTGACCATTAATATAAATGATTTTGTTTTAGTAAAAAAATTAAAAAAAAATAGATTATGAAAATTTACAATGACACAAGTTTAACAATATTTTTTTATAAAATAATATTATTACATTAATAAATAAAACATAGTCAAAGTAGAACATGTGAATAGTGTAAAAGTCAAAGTGTTGCATTTATTTAAGAACGAGGTAGTATTAAACTTTGCCCCACATATGATTTTTAACCCCGCATTGTCATTTCTAACTCCGAGTTCTAAGCTGCAATTCCTAACTACTCCCTCCGATTCAAAAACAAGTTCCACCTTTCCTTTTCGGGCAGTTACAAAATTAAGTTCCACTTTCAAACCTTTCCTTATTTGGCAAATTATCTACATCAAAACAGTTTCAAACAATGTTAAACAGTGTCAAACAATGTCAAACAGTGTCCAAACAGTGCCAAACAAAGCAATCCACAGTAAAGTCAAAATTCTTTTCTTAATACGGAGTATGTGTGAAGTCAAATGTGGAATTGTTTTTGAATTGGTATTTTTTTTTCAGACTCCCTCTATCCCGATCCCGCTATAAAAAAAGAGAGGGGATATACAGGCAATTTCGTCCATTCAGAGTCTAATATTAAATTCCTCAAGAAATACCAACCCCTACAATAAGCCTCTCCTGAATTTTAGAATATACGGGGCTTTCGTGGTCATCGGGATAGAGAGTTTCCCTAAATCGCTGAATAGAGAGAGGTCGAAGGCGCTGCGGAAGTGGGCGGCCATGGAGAATCTCAAGGTACTGTTATAGCTCCAGGGTGTTAACCGAGAAACCAGAACTTAAGAGTTCAAGAAAGGAAATTCAAGAAGAAGAGGAAGAAGTTTAGAGAAGATGAATTTTTCATATCAGCGTAAATGTTCACGTATACAATGAGTAATCTATATACATGAGTTGGCTAATCTAACAACTAACAGTGACAACTAACTTCTGTAAGGGAGTTGATTCATCTGCCAGCTCACCACCCGGTCCCATCTGTCTCTTAATATCCCGCTCAGCTTCTAAGGCATGTAACAATGCCTCCTCCTCAAACACAGCTTGTCCTCAAGCTGTAGTCATTTTTTCTCTAAACTCAGGAAACCTTTTAACAAAATCTTCATACAGTTCCCAAGTTGCTTCTTCCTTCTCAGCATTTGACCATTGTACCAGCCAATAAACAGCAGCAGCATTCCCTCTTTTTGCTAACTTCCTGTCCAATATAGCAACTGGTTCCCTTCTTAACTGTCCGTTGTCATCCATGTTAGGTAAGGAGCTGCTGATGGGGGCAGGAGCATGATGTTTTTTAAGCTGGGAGATATGGAACACCGGGTGTATTTTAGCATGGTCAGGTAGCTGCAGTTTGTAAGCCACGGTTCCCACTCTGTCCACTACTGCAAAAGGGCCAAAATATCTTGGGGACAGCTTCATATTGATTCTATAGCTCACAGAATGCTGCCTGTATGGTTGGAGCTTAACATATACTAGATCTCCCACTGCAAACTCCTTGTCACTTCTATGCTTATCAGCCATCTTCTTCATTCTGTCCTGTACTCGTTTGATATGGAATTTCAACAAGTTAATACATTCTTCCCTTGCTTGTAAACTCCTATCAACTGCTTCCACAGGAGAGTCTCCTGCCACATAAGGTATATGAAGTGTAGGAGACTGGCCATACACAACTTCATAAGGAGTCTTTTGCGTGGATGAGTGGTGGTTAGTATTGTACCACCATTCAGCTAGAGATATCCATTTAGCCCAATCTTTAGGCCTTTCCCCTGTCATACATCTCAAATATGTTTCCAGGCATTTGTTAACTGCTTCAGTCTGTCCATCCGACTGAGGATGATAGGCTGTAGACATATGGAGTTCCACCTGTAAGAGCTTAAATAACTCTTGCCAAAATCTGCTCAAGAAGATTTTATCCCTGTCACTTACAATAGTCTTGGGAAGACCATGTAGTTTAAAGATATGATCAAAGTATGCATTAGCCACCATAGAAGCTGTATAAGGATGAGTAAGGAGTAGGAAGTGAGCATACTTACTCAACCTATCCACCACCACTAAAATGGTATCCTTACCATTGGATTTGGGCAAACCTTCTACGAAATCCATAGAGATGTTGACCCAAATAGCCTCAGGAATAGGGAGGGGTTGGAGTAATCTGGCTGGGGCTTGCAGAATAGGTTTACATTTCTGACATACTTCACATTCTCTAATAGCCACTCTTATATCCCTCTTCATCTTCTTCCAATAGAATAGAGTTTCTATTCTTTTGTATGTGGCATGAGTTCCTGCATGTCCTCTCAGTGGTGAATGGTGCATGAGTTGGATAATTTCCTTCCTCAGTTCTTCATTCTGCCCCACTACTAACCTTCCTTTCCTCAGCAACTTCCCATCCTTCCATGAAAATTTGCTTGGAGTTTGAGAGTCATCTTGTAAGGATTGAATAAGTTGTTGACTTTCCTTATCCTTCCAACTCTCTTTAATCTTCTGCAGTAGATCAGATTGTATCTCACTCACAATCGTACTCATGATTGTCCCCCCTTCCATTCTGGATAGAAAATCTGCTGCCACATTTTCCTTCCCCTTTCTATAACATACCTCATAGTCCATTCCCAGAAGTTTAGGTAGACACTTACTCTGAAATGGAGTGGTGATCTTATGATCTAGTAGGTATTTCAGACTAAAGTGATCAGTTTTAATAATAAAATGCTTCCCAGCTAAGTATGACCTCCATTTCTCTACAGCCAAAATCACTGCCAAAAGTTCCTTCTCATATGTAGAAAGGGACCTATTTTTTTCAGATAAGGCTTTGCTTAAGTAAGCAATAGGGTGCCCTTCTTGAGATAAAACTGCTCCAATGCCTAAGTCAGAAGCATCGGTTTCTACAATGAAAGGTTTTTCAAAATCAGGTAAAGCCAGTACTGGAGCTTGACACATGGCCTGTTTCAATCTGCAAAATGCCAACTCAGCCTCCTTTCCCCAAGAAAAAGCATTCTTCTTGAGTAAGTTGGTTAAAGGTTTGGAAAGTATGCCATAACCTTGGATGAATTTCCTATAATATCCTGTTAGCCCAAGAAACCCTCTTAATGCCTTCAAGTTTTTTGGACTAGGCCATGCTTGAATAGCCTGAATTTTCTTGGGGTCAGTAGCTACACCCTCTTTTGATATGACATGTCCCAGATACTCTATAGTATTTACCCCAAAAGAGCATTTACTATGCTTAGCAAATAAGGTGTTATTCCTCAAAATGGTCAAAGTTTTCTGCAAATGTACTGCATGTGATTCAGCATCTGCACTGTATATGAGGATATCATCAAAAAATACCAATATAAATCTTCTGAGATAAGGTTTAAAGATGGAGTTCATGAGGTTTTGGAAGGTAGATGGAGCATTAGTTAAACCAAAAGGCATGAACATGAACTCGTAATGCCCTTCATGAGTTCTAACGGCTGTCTTTTCAATGTCTTCTACCTTCATTCTAATCTGCCAGTACCCTGACCTCAGGTCAATTTTGGAGAAGATCTGAGATCCTTTCAACTCATCGAGAAGTTCATCAATTACAGGAATGGGGAACTTGTCCTTGGCTGTATGTTTGTTGAGCTCCCTATAGTCTACACAAAATCTCCAACTTCCATCCTTTTTCTTTATCATGACTACAGGTGAGGAGTAAGGACTCTGACTATTCTTGATAATCCCTGTGTCTAGCATTTCCCTGGTGATTTCTTCAATGGCTGTTTTCTGCACCACTGGATATCTGTAGGGTCTAACATTTATAGGGGTAGTACCCGGCATGAGGTGAATTTGATGGTCCCAATCTCTATGTGGTGGCAACTGTTTTGGTTCCTCAAACACATCCTGAAACTGTGAAAGTATTGCAGATATTTCCTCAGGCATGCACATTTCAGTAGTTGGTATCCTGTCTTGAGTCTCCTTTTGTTGTTCCATCACCCTCATAAGATACAATTGTCCCCCATATCTTTTGCTTTCTTTCTGAACTTCTTGACAAAGCTGTCTCCCATTAATCCATTGTATTTCCCCTTTTTTACTTCCCCTTAATACAACTCTTCTTCCCATGTATTGAAACTCCATAATCAGCTTGTCAAAATCCCATTTAATAGGTCCTAGAGAAGCCAGCCATTGTATACCTAATACCATCTGACATCCCCCCAAAGGTACAAGCATAGTGTCAGCAACAAACTCAGTATTGTGTAGAGTCCATTTGAACTGTTTACAAAGCTGTGTAGTAATCAGTTTCTCACCATTAGCTACTGAAACTTCCAAATGGTATGACTGAGAGATTCTACAGCCCAACCTCTTGGTTGTGTTAATGTCTAGGAAGTTATGTGTACTTCCCGAGTCTATCAGCACATACAGGTCTTTCTTATTAACCTTTCCAGTCACCTTCATTGTTTGGAATTGATGGTGTCCTGAAATGGCATTAAGAGAGATCACAGGTGGATTCTCCATAACTGTAACTTCTTGGTATTCCTCTTCTGATCCACCATCTACTGATCCATACTCAGTACAGAAAGATCCTTCACCCTGCTCCTCATCTATAGGAGAGATGTGAATCCTGTAAAGTTGAGCCTTACATATGTGGCCTGGAAAATATTGGTCATCACAGTGGAAGCATTGATTTTTTCTTCTTCTCTCTTCAATATCCTTAGGTTGTAGGACTCTTCTCCCATTAACCACAGGCTTCTTGTAAGTTGCAGCATTGGTTGATGGAGTAGGAAGTAGTCCTCCAGTCTTGGGTACCAAATTTTGAGGTCTTTTAAACCCAGAATTTCCCATAGTATCTCTAGGTTTGTAAGACCAATTATCTAACCCTGTTCTGTTGCTCTTCTTTAATGCATTAAGACTCTGCTCTTGCAGCTTTGCATATTCCATAGCACTGGTCAGCTTTCTTGGTTTAAATGCCTTGACAAAAGGTTTAATAGTGGGGCTCAATCCACCAATAAAACTGTCCAAGAAATATTCATCAGGGAGTCTGTTGTTTCTTTGCAACATTAAACTACGCAGGTTTTCAAACTGATTCAAGTATTCATCAAAAGAAGTAGTTTGCTGCAATTTATTAAATTCCTCAACAACAGTACTACCTAACTCATCATTGAATCTTTCACACACATCTATCACAAACTGTTCCCAATTCACTCCTGGATTCACAGAGATGTAGCTGGTATACCAAGATTCAGCATGATTTATCATGTAAAGTGAAGCTAAATCAACCTTCTGATGATGCTTAATTTTACATAACTCAAAGTATTTAGCACACTTTTGAATCCAGTTTCTAGGGTTATTACCAGCAAAGGAAGGAAATTCAATCGTAGGAACAAAGCCTATATTCCGATTAGGGTTACCTCCCTGAAATTGATGACTTCTTTCATGAGAATGCATCGAATGATGGGAACTACTTCCTTCGTCATCCTGTTTTTTCTGAAGAAGAAGCATTAACGCATCCAGCTTCTCTGATGTTTCAATAGCCTTTAATTCACTTCTTCTAGCTTGTTCTTCCATTCGCTGCTCTAATTCTGCCCGTCTTTCTTCCATAAGAGCAGATAGAGATGCAACTGTCTGTTTCTTCGCCAAGATGGAGTCGATGCCTCAAATTAGTGGTAACAATGGCGGAACTGAATGCCAGGATGAATCTCTGATACCAATTGTTATAGCTCCAGGGTGTTAACCGAGAAACCAGAAAATGTTAGAGAAGAAGAGGAAGAAGTTTAGAGAAGATGAATTTTTCATATCAGCGTAAATGTTCACGTATACAATGAGTAATCTATATACATGAGTTGGCTAATCTAACAACTAACAGTGACAACTAACTTCTGTTAGGGAGTTGATTCATCTGCCAGTTCACCACCCGGTCCCATCTGTCTCTTAATATCCCGCTCAGCTTCTAAGGCATGTAACAGGTACCTGTGAACAAACCAGGCATACGCCGGTGAGTTCTTTCTCCTCTTCAATTTCCGCATCTTTTTATTGCTCCATATATGCAGTTACTTTATGATCTGAAATTGCCTTGTGTTTGGTCGTATTCCGAAGAATTCGCCTGCGACCTGGTGTTTACTTGTTTTATTTTCAATTTCAATCTCTCTGCCTCTCCTCAATTACTGATCGTGTTTCCTTTGCTGAAATTTGATCCGTATAATTAATGAATTTTATGACTAGAGCAGGGGAAGGGGAAGGGGAAAGGGAAGCGCCAGCGGAAGGAAAGGCCCTCTTCGCTCACTAGTATATGTGTCTAATGGATATGCTGGTTGTATGACACATCCGTGTGCAGAGGCTGCGCTATCAAGTATCAATGAGAAACTGGTGTTTAATTTCATTATTGTTAGGGCAGTATATATAATCAGCTCCTCAAATAATTTGTTGTGATTTCACTATGCAGGATCTGAAATACAAGCTTGTTGAGCCACAAGGGTGTATCTACTGCCCAACTCTATCGAAGCTCAGGTTCTTCTATCATTGCAACTTCATTGCTAGGCCTGAAAATGGAAGTGACGTTGACGATACGCTCTTTTTTGCGGAATTAGAGGGGAGGAAAGAGAGGAAGACTGGCAGCCAAATCAGTCTCACCCTCCTTTTCTCATGCGTTTTAGGGCCCTGTGATTCTGAGGGGGCAGATCCCGGTGACTGTGAACATTGTCGAGGTCTTCCAGGTTTGGTCAAACATCCTAAAAGCGGCGGATTCCACAAATTTGTTGAGCCTGGTGCCGTTTTATGGTGATGGATTCCGGCTACGAAGAAAACGATGGTAGTAATTACTCGAAATAAAACTTTGTATTCCTATTTTTGATTTTACAATTCTTTGAAAAATGCTTTGATTAACGCTTGATAATGCCAAAACAGTAGTAGTTAACCGGTTTAACCCTACTTTTAGTGAATATAATTATAAGAACACAATAGTCCTATTTTTAATCTTAATTTTTTTACATTGACAATCATTCGAAATACTGTGAAACTTGTCAAGAACTTTAGTCTCAAAGAGGAAGAGAGCGTCTCAAACTTAAACTTATTTTTGAATAGAGAAATAATACATGTAGAGTATGTTATTAATTTCATCATTCTATATATAAGAATTTAAATCAATTTCCAATTTTGTGGTTAATATATTGAGCATATACTTAGGAGGTGTATTGTTTGAGGAATTAGTAATAAAATTTTAGAATTCTATGGAATTCAAAAGTCCGGGTTTATTGCATATTGATTTTTAGTCGTAAAAATCTTGCAGTATTCAATTATGATTTTAGAAAGTCAATTACAAATCCACCAATGTTTAAGTGTATTCATTACTGATTTTACAACTGAATAAAAGTTTAGATATATTGAAAAAACTATAAATTTCATGGAATTAGATAATCTTTCATATTCTTGGACTTCAAAACTGTTTATAAATACCCATTCTCATTTTTCTCTCACCCTGCCTAGTAGGATTTAAAAAAAAAAATTGCACGCCAATCTTTCATATTTCATTCTTCCATCCCTTGTCCCACTTATTCTCTTGTTTAGTCGTGTGTTTATCAGGTTCGTATCCATGAGACGCGGTTCAAAGCTTAGCATGCTTTGCTTATAGATAGATGTTCACCGTATTCCTTGGCTTCCGAAGTTGCTGAATAATGTGATAAATCCATTGCCAAAATCATGTTTAGCTAATCAAAGACATTTATTTCAAAGTTCATGAAAAAGTTAATTTGTTTACTATTTAACTGATGTTCTTTACCATTAAAATATCAGACTGCCTTCGCGTAAATACCATGACAAGTTTTAACACAATTTCCCATCAAACATTCTTGCAGCAATATAATACACAGTTTTAACTTGCCATGTTATATACGCATATACGAAGTATGAGTAATCTTCTGGTCAGGAATTTCCTAACCGGAGCGCCGTCCGGCCTCCTCCTTTTGGGGGCCTTCCCGGTGGTATTTTTTGCTCAAATTTTTTGTGTATGTTCCTCATCAAGTCTAGTTCATACATACCAAATATCAGCAAAAAATTCAATCGGGAAGGTCATCAAATGATTTTTGCAAGTTAACTGGTCCGGAAAATCCATATTCCGGACCAGTTAACTTGCAAAAATCATTTGACGACCTTTTCTGAAATTTGGTATGGATGAACTAGACCCAATGAGGAACATACACAAAAAATTTGAGCAAAAAATACCACCGGGAAGGACCCCAAATGGAGGAGGCCGGACGGGGTTCCTGTTCGGAAATTCCGGACAGGAATATTCCTCTACGAAGTATATACTTACTGTAGGGCCTTTTCTCGGCATTGGAAATAACTTTGCAGCCTGCTGCGCTCCCATATTCTATTGATGATGGATTATTTGCTTTTAACAGATGATCATTGTTATATACGGAGTATGTGGATTGTAGTGTGAGAATGTATGAACTATCTGATTAATTAGTTATTTACGTAAGTGATTTATGTATATACAGAGCATATGGTTAGTTTATAAATGATTTTTATATACATTATATGTACTTTTAGTTTTGAGTCTTATAAATGTTTTTTGGTGTTGAATCTGCTACTTGCTACTGTTTGAACAAATATTTTGTTCATTAGATTTTAATTGTATATGTTTTTACATGTTTTACAGACTGTAACTGTATTCTATTCTCTTGTTTTAGCAAGTTTTTATACTCCCTCCGGTTCTTATAACTTTGCCAACCTTCCTTTTATGGATGTTCCATTAACTTTGTCACTTTCTATTTTAAGTAGAGAATTTGTGGTTGCTGATAATTCTATCTCCTCTGCACAATCCTCAATCACACAATTTTTACTTTATTAATCCCTATGCCGGTAAAACATGGCAAAGTTATTAGGGACAGAGAGAGTAGTTGACAATACAAATAACTATTAAAAGGAAAAGAGGGGTGTCAGAGAGGGGTTTCCACAGTAGCAAATGCTGATCTCAAGCTGGTGGCAATCCCAATTGTGTCGAGGGGGAGCCCTAGGCAGATGCGACTTTGGGGATTCGTGGAGAGTTCTTGTGGCGCGAAGGGAACTAGGCTTCCAACCATGCGATTTCCAGCATAGGGCGTCACGAGCATTCTTTAAACGGGATAGTTTTAAAATGAATAATTTTGATCCATAGGTTTTAGTAACACATGACTTTTGTTTCAATTTTGTGCATTGATGTTGTCACTATTTTTTATTATATAATACTTGATCTCATTTTGATTAGAGAACATTAGATATTATATTTGTCACATTAGCTTTTGTATTTTAAGAAAATTATGAATGCCTTTCATATAGGCATGGACCAGATCCGGACCAAGGCTGGACAGGCCCACAACATAGCGGTCCCAGACTAGGTTGAATAGGCTGGTTGCTCTGATCCTGAGCCGGATCTTGCTCATTTTTTTCAAACTGTCCTGCCAGATGTTGGGGACTAGATCAGCCCTGATATCGACCGGCCCAAATATTAACACCTGAGACCCAGAAACGAAGACTGAAAAGCGGGGGTGAATGGTCATGGAATGGGACTGGAAAACCGGTCTCGGGCCGGTCCCAAATAGTGTCCAGCCCGATCGGGATGGGCGGAGTGGGTCCATGCCTACATTCGTATAAAAGTGTATGGATTTACTCAAATCATTAGAAGTCATTCATTTAAAAGTATATGTGTTTAAAAGTCTATGGATTTAAAATACAACAGATTAAAAGTCTAGTAATTTAAAAATCGATGAACTTTTTTAAAAATCCATGGGAAAAGGTGTACACCACAATCCATAAACATTACATCCCACTTAGTTTTTAACGTTTTAACATGCTTCCATGTTGGAAGACCACTTGGGAGGACAAAAACATAGTGGGTTCAATCTTAACAAGCAAAAGAAAGTATGATGAACTTGACAAACTAGCTTTGACATAACTATGTTATTTTCAATCATGATGAAGTTGCTCCAATATGAAAGTATGTACTTCAAACCATATTCCAATATGAAAGTATGGACTGCAAACCCTATTCCAATATGAAGGTTTATGCACTTTATTTTTAAGTATGAGGAAATTGTTGTTGTAGAAAATCTGATCTGATTTGATATCAGAATCATCCCAAATGAAATTTTCTTATATTTTCACTTTTTTATTTTTACTTTACATATTTTATTCAACAATTTTATAAAGATATATATTGATAGAGTATATTATATTGTATCCCAGGATTGTCGATTATTGGGCCTGAATAATGGCCCGAATAGAATGAAAGACAATATTTCAATTATTGCACAATATATTATTATTATTATTATTATTTGAGTATGGCTGCAATTAGTAAATGCAAATCAAACATGTGAAAAAATAAAAAATAGTAAACATGGATTTACTAGACTTAAACAAACAAGACAATATTAAATCAAAAAAATTCAATCCAATTAGGAAAATCCTCACACGGGATTTACATGTGAAAATATAACTTCACTTAAACATGGATTAACATAATTTCACTCAAACACATTTTCACTAGGCTCTTATACAAAATTTCACTAATACACAAATTAACACATTTTCACTAGACTCATTCACAATTAATGTTGAATTTATTTATTAATCTTCCTATTCACCACTACTTCTTTAATAATCGATTTTAATTACAAATTTATTTAGAATTAAATACTTCATCTGTCCCATTTATAGGTTCCCACTTTTCTTTTTTGAACGTTCTATATAAAGGTTTTCACTTCTATGTTAGGAAACAATTAACACTCTTATATGACGATTTAATCATCAAATATTAAAAATATTACATTAATAATATCACAGTTATCATCAATGACCACATTATATTATAAACCCATCGAAACTATTTCTCAAAATATGGTCAAATAACCTTATTTAGTTATTGTCTAAATAATTGTGTCATTTAATTTTATAGTGGAAATCTTTCAGTGGAACGGAGGGAATAACACACAATTTTGGCTGTCATTATATTTTAATGTGTATAAGTAAGCATTATAAAAAAATATTATTTTGAAATGTTACATTAATAAAAATTTAATAACATTTTACGCATAATAATTTGATTACATTTTAGTAGAAAATCATAGTCGTGTATGAATAGTGCAAAAATCACAATTCTGCACCTATTAAAGAACGGAGGAAGTACTTTGTACTCCCTCCCTCCCACTTAAAGGTTCTCACACTGTTTTTGATGTTTGACTGACCATAAAGTTAACTAATCGCTGTCATTAATTGGATTACTTTTAGTAAATAAAATTGATACATTTAGAAACTACATTAAAAGTTTTATAATACCCGATCAAGAAAAATTAAATTTGATAAAAGTTGAATGTATAAAGTAAAAGATTAAGAACAATGCACGTTGACCGGAGAATAGTGGACAGAAACCTTTAAATGAGAAAGAGAGAGTAGTTTTTATCATATACAAAGTTAAAATAAAAACAATTTTCTTAAGAAAGCGAAAAGGAATTGTTAAAACATCATACGTGTTAAAATTCGAAAAACATAAATTAAAATATTCATAAGTTTGGTAATAAGATAAAAGTTATTCATACAAAAAAGAATAAAAATTTAAAGAAAGTTACAAGGAATTGTTTTCACATTCTAATCACACTAAAATAATTCATAAAAAAGAACTTTTGAAAGAAAGTGAAAAAGAATTGCTTGCAAATTCTAATCACATAAAAATCATTCATAAAAAATGAAAACAAATTTTGAAACAAACAAGACCAGGTCAAATCTAAAAAATTCAGTAGTTTTATCATTTATTTAGTTGCTTATTTATTTATGTATTTTGACTAAATTTATTTATTCTATTATTTATAAAAATTGTCTAGCTCAGAGAATGGCTATAAAATTGACTACTGACCTCCATTTATTCTTCGTTTTTAGGGAAAAGTATTTGTTTTTGTACTCAAGTGCGGAGCTAGAGGGGAGCAACTTAAGTCTTGACCCGTCTCTGAACTCCATTGAAAAAGCTTTTTCCATGAAATTGTGGTGGAAATGTAAGAATGGTAACTCTCTTTGGAATGTTTTCATGACTGCCAGATACCCTAGAGGTACAAACATGATCTCTAAGGTTACTGATTCTCCCATTTGGAGGAGAATTTGCAGTATCCATGATCTGGCTACCTTTAACTGCAGCACCAACCAGGATGGCACCTTAATTTGGGAGCCATAAAATGATGGTCTGCTTTCTTTTAAATCAGCCTATGAGTCTGTGAGAGAGGTTCAGTCTACTATGTTATCTTTTAAGCATGCTTGGCATCCATATCAGATTATGAAAATTAAGGTTTTCCAATGGAAAATGCTTCATGGCATCCTGCCAATAACAGATAGATTGGCCAGATTTAACATGGTATTGAGGCCTTCCATCTGCCCTCTATGCAGAAAGCATGAGGATTCCATGGACCATGTGTTTATCTCTTGTACGGTGGTTACGCCTGTTTGGTATTACTTTCAAAGCATTCTAGGCATTACTTTGTGCTCTACTACTGACATGAGACAAATGATGATGCACTGGTGGCTTAAAGCAGGAAGTAAAACGTTACTAGATCTTTTTAAACATTTTTGCCAGGTATAATTTGCTGGATTATTTGGAAAAATTATATTGAATTCATTTGGGGTGATAAAGCAGGAGGAGTAACTTCTGAAAGTATTGTTATTCAAATTAAACATTTCACTCGCATATGGGTTTCTAGTCTTCCTAGATTAAAAATTCATTATGTGGAGGAAGTGTTAATTGAGGAAGGGTTTATTCCACGGAATTTCAGTGCTTTAGGAACGAAAGTCAAAGCTATTAGATAGATTAAACCCAAAAATAGTTTTAAACTTAACACTGATGCCAGTTACGTACCTGGTAATTTTCTTGTATTTTAATTTTTGGGTCAGGTCTAGCCCCCCAAAAATTTTATTTTTGCTTTTTCTTGCTTACATCTTCTTGTATTTTCTGGAGGTAGGCCTCTGGTGAGATATATTGGCCTAGTCCACCTCTCTTCTTGTATTTCCCTCAATTTTTAATAAAACCTGGCAAATGTTCCCCGACATTTGCCCCACTGATTTGGGTGGTTTTCCTTCTGGATTAAGAAAAAAAAGTCTTGACCCGTCTCAAATTTAAAAAATGTATAAAAAATTAATTTTAATGTAAAAAATTACTAATAAAAGGGTTATGAACAAAAAAACGACTTGGTAAATTTTAGTGAATATAATTGTATTCAAATTTTACATTATAACAACTACATCATAGTAAATTAGTAACTTTGAAAATAATTATAGTGACTAAAAGTTACCAAGTCACATTTTTATTCATCACTTTTTAGAACTAAATACTAATATTAGTGGATGACTTCCTTACTTTTATTCTAACATATAAGATCTAATATTAGTGGATTACTAATACATTAGAGAGAAGGTTCATTATATTATTAAAATAAGATCTAACCATATAGTACTTCTGTCCCTTAGAATTGAGATAAGAAAAGGCACTGCGGTCCATTATTAAGAAAAATAAAATTGATTCGTTGATATTGAATTTAAAAAGTGTGAATTAAGTAAAAAAATGAATTACAATCGCTCAAATATTACCACATGGTATGAGACAAATGTATTGCGACAAGAGAAAATATTAAAATTGGACAAAAATATGAAAACCCAAGGAGTATAACTTCTTTTGAAAGGAAATTTGGAGCAAAATGATCTACTTTACTACTTTATAATTTATTTAAATTATTTGATGAACTTTGCAAAGAATTATTCAAATCAACATTTCATTCAATTTTCAAGAAGTGTCTCTAAACAATAACGCCACTTATATATTACTTTCCCAAGTACGTAATAAAGATTAGGTTTATGAAGATGAGAGAAATAATAAGAACTAAAGTCTCGCATAAAGAGATAATGAAAGATAACAAAGTTAAAAGGCATGAGTAATACTCTCTACGTAAGTTAAAAGGCATAAGAAACAAAGGCTAGCCTATTCCAATCATGATGATCGGCGATATCGATATAGGGATCATGAAGAAGATGGAAATGGGAAAGGAAGATGAGGTATTCGTGACCCGCCTCCCTCATGAACTATCGCCTTGGAGCAACCATGGGGCTCAGGATCAGAAACGGGTGCTTCAAGGTTGGATTTAGACCCATGGTGTTTTGTGTTCTATTTTTCCTTCAAACTCTATTTTTGTTATGTTTTACTTTTTTATTTAGATAATACTTGTGTGTATTGGGTTTTGAGTTCGTTGATTGTTTTATTATCGTGGGAGGAACTAATTTGGGTTTTAGTGCCGACTGTTAGTTCGAATCTTTCGCATGTTCATCAAAGAGTGTTGCTCTTCTTAAGATAATATATTTTACGCCTTGTTAGAAAGTGAGACCATTTTTGTGAGAGTTAGGGGAGGGGAAGAGAAATTGTGTTGTGATGAGGTTTTCAATGTTTTGGATCATTATCTTTTTATTTAAATATGCTTTTTTTTCCTGCAAATATACTACCCTTTATTTTACATCCCTGAAAAATTATTTTTTTTGTTTTTCATTCTTGAAATTTATCTAGATTTTCCTTTCTATTCCATCATCGATTATAACAACCTCCATTTGACATCAAAACAACCCTGACAAAAAAAATTATCTAAATCTTTGTCATATTATTCAAAACATATTTAGTTTTTAAGAAGGTTTTTGATACATATTTTAAAAATATGAATAATTAAAGTCAGTTTACTAACAAAAATATTTTCTAGTTTGCCGAAAAATTTGTTGAAAAACTGGAGAAGAAGGAACAGAGGAAAATGCGCATTTACCAAATCATTTTTCAAAACAAAAAATGGGACATGTCTCTATTTTCCTTAATGAATTTGAGAAGTGAGTTTGACTAGTTTTTCAAATTTGAAAGAAGTGGATGATGTAGTGATGCAACAATGGATTTGCTACATACGTCTAGTGGTGGACTCGATCCCACTTCGGGCTCAGTTCTAGTCAGGTTTGGTCAATGACCCGGCGGTTGTTCGGTCCAACCAATGACCGACTGGTCCCTGTCTGGTCCGGGCGGCTCGACAGTCCCTTTTCGGTCAATGACCTAGTGGTACCTGTTCGGTGCGATTGACGATTGGGCAGTCCCAGTCCGGTCAATTATCCGGCAGTCCCTATCTGGTCTGGTAAATGACCAGACAGTTCTGGCCCGGTCCGATCTGTGATCGAGTCGTCTCGAGTCGGTCCGGTCAATGACCCGATAATCCCTATCTGGTCGACGCTCTGGCGGTTCGGTCTGCATTCTTTGAAATTATTTTTTTGAGTGTGAAGAGTTTCAAAAGAATCCTTGAGTTGCCAAACAATAGGGAAAAGGGAAAAGAATTATTCAAACTAGCTATTGAGACCAACCAGGACCGATCAATTTCGGTCCTAACTTTCCTATACCCGGACCAGGTACCCTACTTGGGCTGCACTAGGTTCGGTTTAGGGACAATACTTTTGGTCTTCCGACCGGTCACAAAACTTGATGACAAAATTTGATGAACATGTTTTCAAATTTGAAAAATGAAAAACTGAAAAATGAAACAAAAAGTTGAAGATAGAAAAACTGGAAAATTTAAAAAGAAAATTGGAGAACAGAAAACTGGAAAATGTCTCTTTCAGTAAACGGGCCCTTAGTTTTAAATTATTTTAATTAGCAAGTTAGTCTCAAAAACATTATAAAGGAATAAATTTAAAAGTTTGTGTAGATATATGCAACCTGCAATAACTTTTTTTTTTCAATTCTAGTGGTCTTAGAGATGGAAATGAAATAAAAACAAAATAATGCATATTACAAGGACGGAAAAACAAAAATAATATTTTACCGTGATCTGAAATAAAGCGTGTCATATTTGTAAGGAGTAAAAACATATTTACCTTTTTTTGCAAAAGCGATTTGGATCAATGCGAAGTACACCCACTGTCCCTGAATTATATCCAATTTTCTCATCTGCTTGTTCCAAAATAATGTTCACTTTTCTTTTAAAATAAAGAATTTGTGATTAATAACATTTGTTGCTCATATTCACATATTTTTTCTCCTCTTGCACAATTTCCCCGACACAATATTCAATATTTTAATCCTTGTATCAAATGTACTTTGAAACATAATTAAAAATTGAAATATGATGTATATTTTGTTGTTCTCCTTCCAACTTTTTCAATTTCTCTTTCACTAAAAAATTAGTGATTTATGTTAATTCTTTCTTTTCTGGACAAATATCTTTAGGGAAAACTATCAAATAAGCCCTTGAACTTACATAAAAAGTGCAAATCACCCCTTATAAAGGAGGTTCTGTCCGGTTGTCGCCATTTGGGGCGGTTACCGGTGGAACTTTTTGATGAAATATTTTGAACATCTTCTCTATTAAGTCTAGTTTACACATACCAAATTTCAGCTAAAAATTCAACATGGAAGGCAGTCAAATGATTTTCTGAAATATACGGCGCTGTTTAACTGCGCAGTCCATTTGACTTCCTTCTCGATTGAATTTTTAGCTAAAACTTGGTATGATTAAACTATACTTGATGAATAAGATGATCAAAAAATTGCACTGGGAACCGCCTCAAATGGTAAAGGCCGGACATAACCTCCTTTATAAGGGGGTGAATTTCACTTTTCAAATAAGTTCGATGACTTATTTGATAGTTTTCCCAATATCCTTATGTTAGCCTAAAACATACAAACTCACTTTTCTTAACAATTGTGACGCCCTCTCTCATACAAATTTGGTATGAAGGTAGTATTAAAAAAAGGGAAAAGGTGCAAATAGGCCCATGTACTAACCAAAAAAGATCAAATAAGCCCTTATTTAGGAGGCTCTGTCCGGCCGTCGCCATTTGGAGTGGTTCCCGGTAGAATTTTTGGATGAAATATTTTGAGCATCTTATTCATCAAGTCTAGTTTGCTCATACCAAATTTCAGCTAAAACTTCAATCGGGAAGGCATTCAAATAGAAGATAACTGTGTTTCTAACTGCACAATTATTTTCAAGAATTCATTTGAATGCGTTCTCCATTAAAGTTTTAGCTGAAATTGGTATAGTTTCGAAAATAGCGTCTCCAAATCCCATAGTCTCAGGGGGGGTTCATTAAGGCATCAAGCCACAACCCGACGGTCCCATACTCAGTCCCTGTGCAGACTGCAGAGATCTCTCTCCGGAAAAAAATCCCACTATACTCCGTCGTCGTTTCCGGTCAACCACACGCCACGTGGACTGTCATACGTGTCTGCCGCGCGATTGCTCCCCAGGTTTGGCTAGTCCGATCCTTAGAACACATAGACATAATAGGTTAACCATATGTGCTGTAATAGATTGGGCGGATTGGGGTTGTCAAACATAGAACAAGTTTAATTAGAGTGGGGATGGATGATTTTTGGTCATAAGTTCACGGTTCACCTCCAAACCTTTAATGGGAAGTTAACTTGATAGTAAATGAATCAAATTACTCCATGATTGGACTGGGATATGTTTAGGAGTGAGGTTTTTGAGTGGAGGGGAAGGATGAGGAGTGTTAGTGGCCCTGCTGTGGTGGGTTCTTGTAATTCTGGACTGCTGAATTTTCAAGTCCCAAGTCTGGGTATTTTGAAAGATAATTAATTGAATTACGTAGTATCATTTTAGCTCAATTTAAAATGAATACCTGTTCAATATTTTGATTTCCACACAACTGTGAACCAAGTTTAATTATAATTCCCCATAACCTCCCCCTTTTCAAATTTGGAACTCACAAACAAGAAGAAAAATTTCCTTTACTTCCCCTCCCCTCCCACAAGCTGACCTTCAAAACCTTCCCCTCCCCCAAATTCCAAAACATACCCTATGTCTCGTGCTCACAAAATTAAAGCTTGAATTAGCCTTTGCATTGTGATGACTTTAGAGTCTTAGACTCAAAGGGTATGGCGATTTTCAACAGTGTTGGTTATGTTGTCAGACTTTTCGCTTTTGCAGGCACACGTGTGGGAGAGCTGAAATTGTTTAAAACTTCTGGAATAGAACCACTAAGATCATAGCAATGGGTGCACCAAAGCTGAAGTGGACATCAGGAGAAGAAGCTGCACTTAAAGC